AAGGCCTGGAGAAAACTGAAAATGTTTAGAGAAATAAAATGTCAATAGGAAAAGCAATTTTTAAAAAGTGATGAAGAATTTAATTTTCAGCTTGATTTGTAAGATGAAAATGAAGATGAAGGTAGTTATATGAAAAATTAAATCTAGAAGTACGAAAATAATTAGTATTTTTGAAAGTAAGGGGAAGGAGAGGAAGTCTTACCAAAAGGATGATGAAATCTCTTCAAAGATAAGGGAAAGAACACTGTAAAATAAGGAAACTAGAGTTCCAGTCCCAATTCTGTCACTAACTTATACTGGGACCTTTAGCAAGTCACTTAAATTTTCTGGACCTCAATTTGCTAAACTATAAAACAAGGAGACTAAATTAGATATCTTCTAGTTCTGACAATAATATATTCTACGATTCTGCATTGTACTGTGCTATGGAAATCAAATTCGTGGTTATTTAGGTCAAATAGTAAGACAGTTATTAGACAGACTCAAACTGCACTTCTATGGCTTTGGTTTCCTTTTCTAGTTCAATTTCCTATCTCATCAGTTATTATTTCTTGCTATTTCTGCCTTAACAAATCATTGTTTTGCCATTCTAATGCTTAGAATCTGTTAAGACCTATACCTAAGAAAAGCTAAGGACTAATAAATAACCCTATTTTACACAAAATTCTAAGTCAAGAGTCTAGGTAAAAGCATTTCTTTGTAATATCAAAACAGTAGACTCTTATAACCTAAAGGGGCTCAGAGTTTATCTGTTCCAATCTGTACTTAAAGCATAAATGTCCTATATTATCCAGATTCTTCTCAAAAACTGTAGTAACAGAGATCTTGGTGTACTTTCCAATTCATCTTTTGTAAACCTCTCATTTTGGGGGATTCTTCCCTTCAGTTGAGCCACCTGTAGCTTTTATTGATTTATTGATGAGGGCCAAACAAAAGAAATCTAACCAGTCTTCTAAATTATTGCCCTTCCAATATTTGAAGACAGCTGACAAGTCCCCACTAAATCTTCTCTTTTCCCATGTTACTCTCATCTCTTCCCCCAAGTGGAAGCTACTGGTAAATACATTTTGACAGAATACGGAAGTAGAAGTCATGTTATTAAAAGAAGCAGGGCTAAAGCATGATGAAACAACAGTTAACGACAAGATGGGAAATTAATTTTCGGGAAATGTGAAATGACAGATTCAGGTAGACTATAGTTTACTGACATGAGAATATACAAGATACTTTGAATACAAAGACCTGGAGATAAATATTCAAGTTACAAGCTATGGTTCAATAATAGGATAAAAGGTTGGAGAACAAAAAGATTAGAGACAGCTTAAAATACCAGAATTAGGAGTATGGATTTGATTTAAATTGCACAAATAAAGCACAAATGTTATTTGAAGTACTAAATCTTTTACCTACATTAAAACCCCCATGCACATCTTTTTGTTTTTGACCACTTTGTCTAACCTTTCTTTACAATCTCTCCCACCCACTTCACTTTACTATAAGTCAGCACTAATTCTCCAAGTCATATCTCCTTAACTCTCTGCCCCAATGAAAGTAAATACAGTATAATTTATGCCTTCTTTGAACTTTGGTAAATGACTCATGCTCTGTGAAGCCCAGTAAAGGGTTGTGTCACCAACAAAAGGAGCCCAATCACTTTCAGAGATTGTCTATGCTTAGCAAATGGAATAGGCCAAGAAAATTTAAGAAGCAATGAGTCTTTTCTTCTCATGATAAAAAAAAAATTAAATGAAATAAACTGATTTAATCTATACCAATTAGAAAAGTTTATTTCTTAGGCTCAAAAGGTTTTATTGGTATTTCTTTTAAACTGAGATAAACTGTATCCTAATAAGATTCAAAGAAATAATGTTTGAGGGAAAATGGGTCCGTAGCTCTTTTCCTTTTCTATTAAGTAAAATTATAAATTATAAATAGAAATAATCCATGAGCATCACATCACATCATAGGATAAGGAGGCTTTATTTTATTTTAAATGTTTCTAAGTCTATATATCAATTTAATGGTTAGGGTCAGAAGCCTTGGGACCAATTTCTAGCCACGTCTGACTCAAGGTTAAAAGGCTTACATTTTGTGATGATTACTGTTCAGTCATGTCCAACTCTTCATGACCCCATTTGGGGTCTTCTTGGCAAAGAAACTGGAGTGGTTTGCCATCTTCTTCTCCAGCTTATGTTACAGATGAAGAAATGAGGCAAACAGGATTAAGTAACTTGCCCAGGGTTATACAGCTAGTGTCTGAGGCCAGATTTGAACTCAGGAAGAAAAGTTTTTTTGACTATAGGTCCAGCACTCTATTCACTGTGCTACCTAGATGCCCCTATGCTGGCACAAAGTTGGCACTTAATTAATGCTTATTGCTCGATTGATAGCTTTTGTTGCAATACTAAAAACAGCTCAACTCATTCTCTCAAAAAATTATAATTTAACTTCCACTGAATAAAGCAGATTTTAGGGGTAGTATAAGATTTTTAAAAATTGGTACATGATATTTAATCAAGATCATTATACAGTCATTCACTTAGGTTCAAAAATCAACTGCACAAATACAAGGTGAGAGAGACTCATAGCTAGATAGCATTTCATGAAGGTTTGAGATGACTTCTAGCATTATATGTCATCAATGTAACTTGGCTGTCAAAAAAGATAATACAGATCAATAATGAAAGAAATTGAAATCATTGTTGTTATAAATATCTTTCAAGAAATCTGCAATGGCTCCTATTGCCTCTCAAGATTTCTCTTATTGACTGCCTGGTTCCAACATATTTTTCCTAACTGAATTCACATCACTATCCTTAAAAAAAAATTATGTTCCAGCCAAAATGGGCTGCTTGCTGCTTTAAGAACTTAGCATTCCATCTTGTCTCCATGACTTTGCACCAGCCTACATTTCTGGAATTAATTTTCTTCTGACTTCTGCGTCTCAGAATCCTTAGCTTTCTTCAAGGCTTATCTCAGATATCATTCCTGTGTGAAATCTTCCTGATAGCAATATTTAACTGTGTTCTCCACCTTTTCAAATTATTTTATATTTTTGTCTATGTTGTATCTCTTCAGTAGAATATAAGTTCCTTGAAGGCAAGGATTTTGTTTCGTTTTGTTTTTATATCCCTAGCAATGTCTTGCACTGATATTTAGACCACCATTTTATTATTTACTTGTACAATCTAACTCATAAAGCAACTTCAAAGTGCTAGAAGCAATATTTTCAATTAGCCTTCCAGCATGCTATTAGGAAACATACAAACTCTTCTGTTTGAAATTTAAAGTCATTCACAATTTGTACTCAATCTATATCTCCAGATTTATCCCACATACCTTTCTCTCCCTTCATGCACTCTACATTCCAGCCAATCCTACCTGCGGTTCCTCAGAGAGTTCATTTCACATCTCCATGTTACTGCACATGTCATTTAAACCCCATCCCTGGAATGTACTCCCTCCTCACTCTGGGCTTGCATTTTTAGCTTTCTTCAAGGCTAGGCTCAAGTGCTACCTCCCAAAAGAGACAAGTCCTATTACTCTCCACTTGCCCCCAATTACTTTTGCACTTACCTGTGTTCACACTTAACTCTCCTTCCTATCCCCACTATAAACTCCCTGAGTACTTTTCTTTGTCTCAGTAACCCCAATATCTAGCTCTCTGTAGGTATGAGATAAATGACTGCTGCAGGAATAGGATATTTTAGTGAACAAAGGCCAAAAGATACCATTTTAAGTAATACCTCAGCCTAATGGCAAAAAGAAGGGCTATTAATATTCCAAAAATAAATGGCCCTCCAGAAACCAACTTTGTTTTAACCAATTAATTAATTAGCATAAAAAGAATTAGATCTTGATCTTCCAGGATTCCCTTTGAAATCCACCAAAAATTCAAGCCCTTCTCCCCCAATCAAAACTCTGCCAAGTTGCAACTGAAAAATGTCAATTCCAAATAGGAAAAAAAAATGAACTATTTGAGAGGAGAAATTTGAAAAATATTAATATCTATGGAAATTCCATCTCAAGATAAAGCATTCTACTAAATCTTCTGTTTTCTGGATTTGTCCTCTAGAACTTATATGGGTTATTTCAACTATAAAGATATCTTGAAATTATTCGCAAATTATTTCAAAATTATAAGAAAATTTATATTCTCAAATAGGATTTCATAAGAAACATAACTTATAAGTGGAAAAATGAGGAGTAGGAAGGAAATTATGAACTGGTCATTTAACAAACAAAATTCCATAGGAATTCAGTCCTATTTGATGAAAGTATATTAACAAACCTACATAACACTGTACAATTAAATATTAACCTTATTTCAAATGTGATGAGGCTTTATGAGAATATTCTTTCCCAGTATTAAACTGATTGATAAGAGTATATGGAATTACCTTTATCTCAACAATAGCTATAGTCAGTTAATTTTATCTACACTTAGAAAAACACAGAAATCAAAGAAGGAATTAACTACAAATAACTTCTAACTCAAATCTTATTTATGCCTGAAACTTAAATTGTTATTTGCCGTCATTGAGCAAATTAAAAATCCTATGCCTTGCTATGAACTGGTAAAACATATCTGAAGAAAAATGAAGTGGTTCACTGATAATTTCAATTTGAAAACATGAAAATACACAGCTAATGAAAACTGCTACAGGATTTAAACTTAACTTCTCAAGTTTATGAGATTGTGGGAGACTGGTTTTTCACTAAATTTTAGCAATTACTTCAGAATTTAAAATATTACTCGAAAGAAAAAAAAAAGATGCAAAGGATACACTGCCAGCATCCTAGAAGGCATTTACAAGAGTAAAAATTTAAAAGAACTGCCTTCTCAAGGGAGCCTGGGACCATTTGCAAGCCTCCAAGGTATATTCCTAGCAGACACGTTATCAGATTAAAGAAACTGCAAGCACTGGAGGTTGGGGAACCATTCTTTGTCCAAACCCAGCCTCTTCTTCCTGTGATGTCATACTACAAACCCAGCAAGCCTTCCTCTTCTGAGAAAGCAAACCCTGCACACACACACAATGCTGCAAGCGACTGGAGAAAACTTCTCAATTCATCTGGAGCAAGCAACTTTTGGGAATTGTTTCTGAACTCGCTTTGCTTTTCGCTTTCTCAGATCAGCACGCCTGAAGGGTAGCGAAGGAAAACTTACTTAAAAGGAGTAAGATGCTAGAGACCAAGCGAGAATATTTAAAGCACTTCACGTTTTAAACCTTCTGTAAGTAGCTTTTAAAGTTTAACTTTTCTTTTGCTAAATCAGTTTTGAAATTTTGTTTCACTGAATTGTTTCATTCATGAAATACAGGATTTCAAACAGAGGCAAACCACAGCTGTTTACTTTAAATTCATGCTCTTAAAGAATGACTACACTCGCTATCTAAAAAAAGGATTCTTTCAAGGAGCCAGTCCTGGATCCCCGGTTTTTGTAGTGACTCTTGGAAGAAAAGAATGCTTTCCCATTGAGGACCCAGACTGCAACTTTACAGCCAAATTTCATGTTTCTCCTGGAGATTTCCAAGGGAAAGGAAATACTTATGAAGCCATCCAAAGACCCAAAACATTTGCAAATAAATTAGAGGTTATAAAGTGATCATCATCTGAATACAAAAAGGAGGAAAAGGAGGCTGCTACAGCCAGGATTTCTACATTGTAAATCTAAAGCACCTTTATAATGGTAAGCACTAACAGTTCCAACTGTTCCTATGATGACTCCTTTAAGTATACTTTGTATGGCTGCATGTTCAGCATGGTGTTTGTGCTGGGGTTAATCTCGAACTGTGTGGCCATGTATATTTTCTTATGCACACTCAAAATGCGAAACGAAACGACTACATATATGATTAATTTGGCGCTGTCGGATTTGCTTTTCGTATTTACCTTACCTTTTCGGATTTTTTACTTTGCGACTCGAAACTGGCCTTTCGGAGATGTACTTTGCAAGATTTCAGTCATGCTGTTTTATACAAATATGTACGGAAGCATTCTATTCTTAACTTGCATCAGTGTAGATCGGTTTTTGGCTATTCTCTACCCATTTCGATCTAAGACTCTCCGAACCAAGAAAAATGCAAAAATCGTTTGTTTTTCCGTGTGGCTGACTGTGATAGGTGGCAGTGCACCAGCGGTCTTTTTTCAGTCTACCCACTCTCAGGGCAAAAACTCGACTGAAGAAGCATGCTTTGAAAATTTTCCGGAAGCCACGTGGAAAACCTATCTCTCAAGGATTGTAATTTTCATCGAAACAGTGGGGTTTTTTATTCCATTAATTTTAAATGTGACCTGTTCCAGTATGGTGTTAAAGACTTTAAATAAGCCAGTTACTCTAAGTAGAAGCAAACTCAACAAAACTAAAGTCCTGAAGATGATTTTTGTTCATTTGATCATATTTTGTTTTTGTTTTGTACCATATAACATCAACTTGATACTATATTCTCTCATGAGAACACAAACGTTTGTTAACTGCTCAGTGGCGGCTGCAGTCAGGACTATGTATCCAATCACTCTCTGTATTGCAGTTTCAAACTGTTGTTTTGACCCTATAATTTACTACTTTACATCGGACACTATTCAAAATTCAATAAAAATGAAGAACTGGTCTTCCAGGAAGAGTGATTCCAGATTCTCTGAAATTCAAGGAACAGAGAATTTTATCCAGCACAATCTGCAGACTTTGAAAAGTAAAATATTTGATAATGAATCTACAATATAAAATACATGAACTACAGACTACTGGGACTTAACTGACCAGCACTGCCACAACTGTGAAAAGTGTTTTCTTGTATAAACTATTTCTCTGTATATAGACATTTAAAACATGAACAGTGCTTTAAATATCCAAAGTTCTTAGCATTAAGAAAAAACCACAGAAAAATATGTATTATTAAAAGTATATTCTGTTCTTGGTATCTTCTTTATTTGATGATCTATTTTTCTAAGCTATTATGATTTCAGTACCTCCTCTTATAGTTAAAACATTCTTTAGGAAGCTGTTATTATTAGCTCACACAGCAGATATATCAAAGTCCAAAAGGGCTTTATGATTTAACAAATCATAAGTGCTGCCCATCTGACCTAATTATCTTAGCCCAGGGCCATATAGCCTTCCATCATAATACTAGATCTAATGATATAAGAACATAGGAGACTGAGGTCTGAAAAATAATGGCAAAAAAGCAGTATTAATAAAGATATTAGATTTCAGTTTGGAATTAAAACTGATAAATACAGTTCCTTTAAGTATCACTTTAGTTTTTCTTCACAAATCAATTCAAAATAATTGATTCTTTTGTGAAATGGTTTTAAAGGTTTTTATATTTTTAACCAAGAAAATTTAACATAAAATTTATTCTCTAGTAGCATGAAGATAAGCTCACCTTTTTAAGGTTCAACCTTGTTTAGGAATGTAGAAACTAAAAATTGAAATCAAGTAGTATGGTTTTGTCTTCATTTCACATACAAAAAAGTGCTATGTGGTTTTAAAATAGTTCTAGCCAAATTACACATTTTGTAATTTGATAAGTACAAGGTTCAAACTTTCTTATGGGAAAAAATATACATATACATATACATATACATATACATATACATATACATATACATATACATATACATATACATACATATATATATAAGAATAAGCAACACAAAATAGGGGTGGAGGGAAGCATAAAAAATTTCTTTACAAACTAAAATCTTTGTAAAATGTTTGTGTTAGTATCACAATTTGCATTTTAAGTATTTTATACAAAAGAAAAGTACTAAGACTCATGGAAGATTGCTTACGATCCTTTTACAAAGGATATTTGAAAATATTAAGAGACTTTTAAAAAATTTGAAATCTTACGGATTTGGAGGTATATTGAGTTAAGAGACTTTTAAAAAATTTGAAATCTTATGGATTTGGAGGTATATTGAGTACCTAACTCAAGGGCCACTTTGAAATAAAACAAGGCTAATAAAGTACAGTATCAGTTCAACTTTTTAAAATAAAGCCAACAAAACAAACCATACTAAACAGATACATAGATTTTCATTTCACTGAATAAAAGAAACAAAGTATAGGATTTAGTCTTAACTTAAAAACAAACCCAATCTCTGTAGCAAAAACTTTTCCAAAAACTTTGTTACTTTTCCCAGTCTTGTTCTGTATGTGTTAAAACAAAACTTCAAACAAATCACTCACTTTTAGGTAACTAAAAAAATGTGAGCTTCCTGTTACAGAGAAACACATGCAATACAATGTCCTAACTTTTTGTCAGGCTCAGCTTTCAAAGTGTTTTTTTTTTTACTGCATATTGGATCTAAATTTACCACATAGCAAATACTTTTAAATTTATGTCTGATCTTACTGTTTATTAGTGTGGCTTCCCTGAGTATTTTTAATAACAAAAACAAACATCTGCCAGACAAGCAGGCTGGCAAGTGGAATAGAAACATTGTATTTTCCTGTATTCATGTGGCTATACTATATCGGGTAACATGTTAATCATTTCCTTAGTGCACAAATCCTGACTCCTATTCAAATAAAGGCGAAATGATGATAAGGAATTGAAGAAAACTTCAATTGGATGAACAAAAGTATTAAAACAACTTAAAAGTATTTTCCCCACTTTACAACATGGCACTACGGAAAAAGCCCTAGATTTGCAGTCAAAGGGTCTAAATACAAATCTTTGTTCTGCTATTATCTGCATGCCATTGCATAAAATATTTAACTTTTCTAGGGCTCAGTTTCCTCATCTATAAAATGAGGGAATTGGATTAGATGACTCTAATTTATATTTGAAAGATTCTTTTCACGCTAAATCTATGATCCTATATGCAAAGTTATGGTCATTTTTTTGTTTTGTTTTTCGAAGCTAAATCTGGTCCTTTACTTATAAGGTGTTACTGTACTTATAACATGTGTTGCTATCCTAAAGTGGAATGAATTTTGGCAAACAGTTAATTCCCCTTTCATATGAAGTCTTCAAGGAAAGGCTAGATATGATTTGTCAGCTGTGTATTAGTGAGTATTCTTTTTTCAAGTGTGAGTTGAACTAGATGACCAATAAGGTCAACTCTAGAATCAACTCTTAGAATACTGTGACCAAGATTGTTGAAAGCCATGTTTCAGGAAAACAAAATTGGAAAACACAAATATACCTTTGAAACATGTTCTTTTGCCTTAAAAAGCAACTTACAAACCCTTGTGAAACTACACCAGGTCTGTATCTGTTTCTCCTTGTAATTAACCAAAATAGTTTGTCTTGAAGATTTAGAAGTGCTTTCTGTATTTTTTAAAGTTACTGTAGAAACTGACTTTTCTTCCCTAGCAAAAAGAAATTCAAACACGTGACTACCTAGAAAATTTTATTTAACTTTGGTCTCTAAGGAGATAATTGGGTCAAAAGCCTTACCTAACTAATTTTCAAGTAATAGATAATGAGAAAGGTTTCAAGTCTGGAGCCTTTAAACACTGGGTAAATTTAATTTTCCTAATATATTAGACAGACATTGAGATGACATAATAAAATGACAATTCAGTTTTACTGTTGGTAATGTTATGCTCTGAAAGAAATGATACTTATTGTAAGTTACATGCCCTGAGTATTTCAATCCCTTTCCCCCATAAAGCCACATTAATGTCAGAACACTTGGAAAACGACATCCTATATGTGTCAGAGATGAGACTTGAACCCAGGTCTTCCCACCTCCAACACTATGCCATGTAACTAGCTTGAACTGAAATTTTGTATGTATTTCCCAGAAGTAATAATACTATAAAAAGTAACTGAAAATTTACAATTAGAATAGCCCATAGCAATGGGAGGAAATTTCACTACAATCTATAAAGCAATATGAACTATTGTTCTTAATGCTTCAGGTACATTATGAACTAAATCAGGCTTTTGGGAAATCATTGCTAATATTTCTGTAAGAAAATATGTTCTGTGTTGTAATTGATAGAGGCCTGGCCTCTTTTGGTCAGGAAGACAAGAGATTCAAGTCTCACTTCTGCACAAACCAGCTAGGTGATTCTGAATGGGTCACAAGCTCTCAATGCCCCAAGCAACTCTCTGAAATGCAGAGCGTGTTTTGACAAGAATTCCTCCGCCATCATATCACAGGTCTGGCCCCTCTTCCCTTTCAAAAAAGAAAATATGTTCACAGATATTTAATAACATGCAATACTGCTAAACTGATGACACTGTCTAGAGCAGGCGTGAGGAAATTGCAGCCTCAAGGCCACATGTGACCCTCTAGGTCTTCAAGTGTGGCCCTTTGATTGAATCCACACTCCACAAAACAAACCCCCTTAATAAAAGGATTTGTTCTGTAAAACTTGGACCCAGTCTCAAGGCTGCACCCAAGGCCCTAGAAGGCCACATGTGGCCTCGAGGCCCCAGGTTCCCCACCCTTGGTCTACAGAAAAGCATAAGAAAAATAGTAGAACACAAGTTACAAAATTTCTAATCACTCTCTTGAGATATGATCAAAACTGAAGGCAATGTGGAAGAAAGCTAATATGAGAAATATCAGATCCTTCATCTTACTTAAGACTAAAATCATAGACCTAAAATTTCAAAATTTGGTCTTCTAATTTTAAAAGGAGCTGTAAAGCTAGATAGAATTAATTTTCAATTTCATATGGTAATTGGAGACAAAATAGCATGAAAGAAAATCCTAATTTTTGATACCACAATTTTACCAAATCATAAAATAAATGCTTAATTAATAATTATCAGTTTTCCATTGCTATTGCCATACTAGTTTAGGCCCTTATCGCCTTTCTCCTCTAATTCTACCTTGCTTCCACTTTTCCCTTACTTGAATCTGTTCTGCACAATGCCATCAGAGAGATCAATGTATTTTTGTCCTGGGCCCCATTTCCCCCCCTAGAATTTTAATGGTTGTCAATAAAATTTTTAAAAAAGATTTTTTTAAAAAGAAAATTTGGAAAAAAATTTTTAGCACAGCCCTGGTAAATATTAGATGCTTGATAAACTGTATGAGAGTCAAAGGCAACTAGCGGGTAGAGGCAGGAGACAGTACACATGGGTATAAGATTAGACCACTGGGATCCCCAGGGAAACAGATGTAGGCAGGGCAGGTTCATCTTTACTCCTTTAGGAGACTTCTTCCAGTACTTGGGTTCCTAAGTTTTGGAAGCAATATTCCAAAAGGGGGCAGGGAGAGGCAGAGAAATAGCTACAATGCTATTCATAATGTATTTACTTAAGCTGTCTGGAACTTAGGAGGGGAGAAGAGGAGAGGGAGAGAGTCAGATATATTTTTTACCCCCAGAAGCAATTACTCACAGGCCTTCACTACCACCTTAAAGGGAGGAAATGATCCCTGTACTTCATCATTTGCTCAGTGATTTAATTTTTCTACTCTTTATTTGTTTTTGTTTTGTTTTTTGGTTGGGCAATGGGGGTTAAATGACTTGCCCAGAGTCACACAGCTAGTAAGTGTTATGTGTCTGAGGCCACATTTGAACTCGGGTCCTCCTGAATGCATGGCCAGTGCTCTATCCATTGCGCCACCTAGCTGCCCCCTTAATTTTCTACTCTTTATTTGTTTTTGTTTAGTGATTTAATTTTTCTCCAGGCTTCTCTATATCTAGAGAAACAGATATGGGTGGAGACCTTGGAGCAGGTACCGAGGAAGCTGGCACTTCACTTTGGAATCCTGGTACAACTCCTTGCTGGATTATAAATTATCAGGACTTGAAAGGGGAAGGTGTTCATTTGAGTCAGTACCCTGGGGTAAATTACTCTTCCAGACCAAATGAGCATCATGAACATGTGAAAGCTGGCAGCTTTGTCACCCACTATACCCAGTTTAAGGTCACAGACTCAAGGAAGACTGGGCCCAGGGAGGTGTTCTGTGGCATGGCAGGCCTTAGGAAGTATATATATATAGAGAGAAA